TGGATGGAAAAAAAGGGTCATTTAGGGTCTTGGGTACGAAGTGAAGTGAAACCCCCGGCTCCTGCATTCCGCGCAGCTGTTTTTGCAAATTGTCCAAGGCCACTTGCAGCTCAGATCGCTCCTGCAAAAATGCACACTAGGACAAGAGGGGGCTTATAAGCGGGGTGACATCGTTTTCTCGAATGTGTCTGAGCAGCAAGTCTGACGGACAGTTGGCGCCCGGAGATAGTTGCAAATTGCAGGCGTAACTCCGCGCATGGAGAAAGAATTCTCACAGTCTTGTAAGTAAAGAGGATCACCCGATGCCGCGAGCAGTAAAATGTGGCGAGCATGGATCCAATCCTTATTCAAGAGCCTCTTGGAGTCTGGTGATTTGTCAACTCAGTCAGCAGAGAGTGCAAAACCCTTTGAAGATTGTGGAAAGGGAAGGAAACTAGCCACCCGGGAAGAGAGTCAAAGCGAACATGCCCTCGGGGAATCCCATCGCGTGCAGAAAGCAAAACAGGTCATCGAAAGGCATCAGCACCATTTCCTCGCGATTGCGACATCAGCAAGGCGGCCCCAAGAACGAGTTCACATGAATGGGGAATGCACCTGCAGGCTATGTTGAAACACAGCCGCAGGCCCCAAACTACCTCCGAACTCAGGTCGCCTACTTTACGGCTTTGCCCTGCGAGCCCGCGCATGTGGCCTGTCGCCAATCATCCTGGTGCGCTCTGTGACTGCCATGAGCTCCAAGCATGACAGTCGTCCGCTTGCCCGACAGTCGACACAAGGGGGTCGGCAGGTCCGTCACCTTCTCGCGGCCCAGGAGCCATCTTCGCCTTGTCGTGCGAGCACATCGTGCATCTCCACAAACACCCGGCACCAACGTCCTTTCTCTTTCCAACCTCTCAGAAGGGGGGTCATCAACTCCACTCCGACCACTGACTTTACGCATTCCAGGTCCATGATGACATGATCCTTCAACTCCCGCATGCGCCAGAAGGTATCAGGAATGCATAGCACTCGATCTGCGAAGACATGCAAGTGACCTTCTCCTGGTTCATCTTCATCTCCTCCGTTATCTTCCAGACAACGAGCTCAGACGCTCGTCTCAGCGCCTGTCTCTCCACCGCGCCCTTGTTGAGGGCGTCAGCCAGACCAAGAGTTGCGCTTGTCCGGTCCTCAACCATTCCTTGTACTTGAGGGCGTGGATGTGCATCGATCCATCAGTAGGGCGTTCAACTTGGTAGACCGCGCGTGCGCCGATGGTTGTGTCGACGCCCACCCCTAGCCGTCCTTGTTCACGTAGCTCAGAAAGACCTCTTGGCTTCTGCGCGCCGCTCTCAACCTCGTGGATCATCATCGCCATGTTGAGCGCAGGGCCGAGCATGCCCACGGCGCTGTAGAGCTCTGACGCGACAATCCTTCTGGCCACCCTACTCTTCGACTGTCGCCAACTTTAAACCCCCTCGACAAAGCAATCAGGGCACCCCGCGCTGCCAGATGATCTTGATCTTCACCCTTGTAACCCGAGTTTGTGATCACCAACAGTTGAAGAGGACCGTCGATCCCCCTGTAGATCAGCCTCAGCGGCTGCGTCTTAAGGCGCTTCACCACCGGTTCAAGTTCATAATGTTCACGACTCGAGGCTCTTTGGTTCGGCGTTGAGGCGCGCTCACACACACGATCACGGCCATACGAGTCGGAGTCGAACACACCGCAGCCCCGACTAAAGACAGGAGGGGTCAACAACCACGTGCTCTTGATCTCTTCTTCCGGGGTGAGCCAAAGCTCCTTCCTGAACGTAGTGGTTTTGACTAACGGTGACAACGTCGCCATTTTCCAGGGTCTCGTCCTTTAGACAAAGGTATGCCAGTGGCAAAATCATCAATGGTGCAGGCAACGGCGCAACAGAAGCTGCTCATCACACATGGCACGAAGACCAGACGGGCTGGCAAAAGACTTGTATCCGGTGAAGCTGTTCACAGAGTCAGTGGTTGAGCAGCTTGGAGATGTACTGCGCTTGGGATGGCTCAGGCAAGGAGCGAAGTGGATTTCATGTGGAGCAAACAAGCACAGAGTCGGTGTCCTACATGCTGGGCTCCACATCGCCGGTGTTTGTCTTCATCTTCAAGGGGCGGTCGGGCTCCGATTTGGCAACTCTGTGGCTGGCATCCCGGCAACTGTGTGTGACAACACGATGCTGCTGCGCTGGCAAGTTGGCAAGATGATTCGCTGGAGTAGTTGCTTCATCGCGGGCGCGAAACACATCAGTCTGGAAAGGCTGACTGGCGAGAAGAACGTTTCTGGCCGGTGAAATCCGAGGACAAGTTGATGGTAGTCCTCACGAGCCTGGTAAGCTAACGCTGTCTGAGGTGACCAACGACAGCAATACGACCAGTGCTCCAAGGCGGAAAGCAATCGCTGACGGGCAAGCCGAGCAAGCAGAAGCGTCGGATGTCACAGACCAAAGCGCTACTGAACCGGTACGTCAAGTGCCTAGGAGCGTACACAGTACCGAAGATAAGATCAACCATGAGTTTGACAAGGCGGAGCCAGAACAAACCTCCAGTCGTGGCTGAGATCGTGATGGAAGACAGTGAAGACGGCCCCTCATCCTTGGAGCTGAGCCGCAAGAGCTGAGAAGCTCTGCGGGGAGATGAAACTGGAGGATACCGTGTCGATTTCTACTGGCGATCGGACCTATGCTGCAGTGGAGAAGGAACCGCGCGTACTTGCTCGAAAAGAAGCGTCGGAACAAGCTGAAGAATGCGATCCAAGAACTTCACAGATGGATTAAGCACACTGCCTGCGTGAGAACTCCACGCGAGAGCCAGCGCAATGTGTTGCGCGGCAAGTGGGTTTTTGAAATGCAGCTCCAGCAGAACGGACACAGAAAAATGCCAGGTTGGTTTGCTCACAGTTTCTTGGACGGCCAAGCTGCGAAAACGTTTGCTGGGACGAGTGCGAAGCGGTCTCAGCGACTTTACATCATAGTGGCGGTCAATCCCGGACGGACGGTTCGCTCGGCAGACATTTCAAGGAGCTTGCTGAAGCTGGTGAAGCACAGCGGGATGTAGCTCTTCAACTGCTGCCCGGTGGGGGAGTTCTGCTTCATGCCCAGGCTGGACACAAGGGACTTCGACCCGGCGCAGGAGGCCACTCTCCGAATCGGATTCGGAATGAAAGATGCGCCCAGCCTTATGCTTCTGGCGGATCATGCATCGTTACTTGCAATAGAGGGGGAACGCGTCCAAACACAGCTCCATGGGGCGTAGAATTGCCGACTGTGAGCAGGATGATCTTTGCATAAACCGATTCTTCCAGCAAGTTCTTCATGCCAATCCTCATGCCTTCAGTCGTGGCGTGTTCGTCCATGAATGCAGCTGCCTCCTCGCTTCTGCAGCTGGACCGATCTGTAACGGGTCGCCACGGCTCCTTCTTGATCTGACAACAGAGTTTGCGGTGGCCCAAAGAACCTTGTCCAGCAGCTGTCCAGCGCCGTCAGTATGGAGTCTCCTGTGCGATCCGGAAAGAGTTCAGCGCCGTCGACCGCGTGCAACACGACAAAGTCCTTGTAGAACAGCTGGTCGCAATGTTCGTTGTCGGAGGCAACTTGTTCGAAGAAACCGCTCGGATGCCCTGCTTGCACCAGGCCCTACACACCGAACATGTGTCCGCAATCTCGGAGACCACTTCTAATACTTCTCTTGAAGTGGCAGCTGCAAACAACGGCAGCTTTCATCCGTGCGGCACTGCAATGATACCGCCTCAAGTGGCGCTCGCAACGCCCTTCTCACAACTTTTATCGAACACTTCTAAGTGCTTGGAGAGCAGCCCGGCCATCCAGGTGCATTCCGGTCACCCTCTTCTTCACTGTCTCCGTCTCCTGCGTCATCATCGGTGGCTTGAGTACCAGAGTTCGACGTCTCGTCGGGAGTCAGGCCGTCAGTCTGCGGTTTTGTCGTCCTTGAACTTGCGCTTGTCTGTTCTCGTGCGGCGAGCATCATCTCGTCTGCAGTGACCGCGCACCCGGGACAGCTGCTGGAAGATGCGACCGGACTGTCCACGAAGCTTTCTGACATACGGGTCGCCTATCGCGTTCAAGGCCGTGGAGAAAGCGCGCCAGCTCCAGGTCCGAGGCCTTAATCTCTGTTCTTTTGCGCGCCAAAATGGCTGCAGCGCCTTCAGTTCTGGTTCCTGGTATATCATGTCTTGCAGCACCACAGATGGATTTGCAACCGTGGGCAGCCCGTCCCAAGAGGACAACGAAAAAATGCTCCGGGGAATTGCAAGTGACAAAGCCTGTCTAAGCTGCTGGCTGGAAATCATTGCGCCTTACCTTGGCAGGACGGGTTGTTGCGCGGCTCCTTGTGTGCCATGTGGTTCCAAATTCAACGCTTGCCATGTTTCTTTCCTGAAGTTTTTACAGAGAGACGCCTACTCGAAACGTCGCGCAGCTCAGCCATGATGATTTGCAAAGACTGCATTTGCGACCTGTTGGGGGCAGACCTTCAGATGACTGCAAATGACGGCGGCGCGGAAGGCGAGACGTTCGCATGAGGAAAATACAAACAGTTTGCCAAACTTTGGATTGGTCAAACCACACATGCGTTTCCCGTGCATGCGCGCCACGGAGTACACATGAGCAAACCGAAGCCATTTTGTGGATCACACAGCGTGGATACATACAAACGGATGTCGGCTTTGTTTTGCTTGGTGCTAGCCATAGAGATCGCCAGGCTGTTTTTGGATGATGATGATGATGATTACGATCGCCCTCCAGACGCTGCAGAGATCGAGGAGTGCGTTTGAACTTGTGAAACAGTGCCATCGCCGTGTTGAAAGGAACATGTGCCTTCTATATGTTTGTGCATTGACCGGGCCGTGCTAATCTGGATCCAGGAGGCAAAAATTCATGTGATTCAACTTCCCCGGGAATTAGATTTAGGACATTTTCGTTTTTTTCACAGGTTTCAAGTTGTTTTACATTTGTTGGTTGGCTTGGCGGAATATGAGCCCAAAATGAAGCTCTGCCACTGAAAAATGAACGAAACTACATCAACCACAGCAAGAATTCATTCAATGTAAGAATTTGGGCAATAGATTTAGGACATTTTCAGTTTTTTATCACAAGTTTCAAGTTGTTTTACATTTTTTGGTTGGCTTGGCGGAATATGAGCCCAAAATGAAGCTCTGCCACTGACAATTCCACGAAACTACATCAACCACAGCAAGAATTCATTCAATGTAAGAACTTGGGCATTAGATTTAGGACGCTTTCAGTTTTTTATCACAGGTTTCAAGTCTTTTGGCAGTAGATTTAGGACATTTTCATGTTTTATCACAGGTTTCAAGTTTTGTTTTTACATTTTTTGGTTGGCTTTGCGGAATATGAGCCCAAAATGAAGCTCTGCCACCGAAAATTCCACGAAACTACATCAACCGCAGCAAGAAGTCATTCAATGTAAGAATTTGGGCATTAGATTTACAGTTTTTTTTATCACAGGTTTCAAGTGTTTTTACATTTTTTGTTGGCTTGGCGTCAAATGACGGGACTGGGCTCCATTTTGGGCTCAAGTTCCGCCACAAGACAACCTTGAAGCCACCGAAAGGATAGGTAAACAAACTTGAAACCTGATAAAACGGAAAATGCCCTAAATCTATAATGAATCCAAGAATGCCCCAGATTATTATTTGCCGACTTTTTCCCCACCCCCGCACACAGTTTCAACCCACCAGATCGCCCTTCAAGAGTCATGTTTTTTGCGCTGCTCTCATGCATCTATGGCGCCCTTCCACAGTTGTCCCACTGTTCAGCTGCATCTCCCTTCAAAACCGTTTTGCCCAGCTCCATTTTTGCCCAGCTCCAGTTTCAACCCCCACAAGATCAAATGATGCGACTGGGCTCCATTTTGGGCCCCACAAATTCGTATTTGCCGACTTTTTTCCCCAGCCCAGACAGTTTCAGCCCGCAAGATCACCTTTCCTGTCATGTTTTTGGGTGCAGTTCTTGGGAATCTATATCGCGCCCTTCCAGTTGTCCCACTGATCATGCCGCATCTCCAGCCCCACAGTTTCACGACTCACAAGATCAGCCTTCTATAGCGCAATACTCAGCTCGCAAGGTGATCGCACAAACAATGAGACTGGCAGTTGTGGGTGACTGGACATGTTGTGCTACATAGTTGATTTATCTCTCGTTGTGTTCCAAATTGAAAAACTGGCGCCCCACCTCTTAAAAAATGTAGATTTGATGAAGTTTGATGTAGTGTTGATGTGTTTGATGTAGTTTTGATGCAATTTAGTATAGTAGTTTTGATGTAGTTTGATGCCGTTTGCATGCAGCTTGGATGTAATTCGATGTGCTTTCGATGCAGTTTGTCTGTGTTTTGATGTAGGTTTGACGCGCCTCGGAAACTGGCAAAAACAACGCCAACGCAGTTTGAACGCAGTTTGAATGCACTTTGGAAAATTCACAAATATACTACACAGAAAATTACTACACAGTGTAGTAAACATGCTACACATTTGTTAAAAAAAAGTGTAGTAATTGTGTATAGTCTATAGTAAATGTGTGGTAAAATTGCCCATTTTACTACACAACGATTTTACTACACAAAAGCAATTTTTGTGTAGTAATTTTGGGTACGCATGTAAAATGTAAAATTACTACACTTTGATCCTTCAGGCAAGGGGGGCATTGCGCAAACAAAACACCGGACGTCAGAGTCTCGCAAAAGATCTACACCATCAGCTCGAAGTTGGGACCTCTGCGCAGTCCATACCTCTTCACTGCGCCAGCACCTTGGCGGCGTCGCCGTCTCCGCCACACATCTTGCAGATGTCGATCTGCCCAACCTCCGTGCGGTGACTTAGGCAGGTCACAAAGTTCTCTATGTTTGCAATGCGTCTGCTTCTCACAGAGGAAGAGGAGAGATCGCCTCGCTGCGACGAGAGCAGCTCCTGAAGTAATTGAATGCCGGAAAGTTGCGAAGCCCAGGATTGTCAGGTCACTCGAAAAGACATGAAGTACTCGAGGTTCTCTAGGGCTTTACCAGTGCCAGTGGCAAAAGATCTTCGCCGCAATCATCACGATGTTGCTCCACCCACTTGATGTGCGGCCCCGCAACTGCCCAGCGGCTTTCTGTTCTTTCTGTCGAATTGCACTCTGCGTCGGGTAGCTTGTCGTGGTTAGTGCTTGCGCGACATTGGCCACGCAGCACCCATCATTCCATTTGACCGACTGAACTAACAGCTGCCTCGAGGACATGTGTCCAACCGGCCTGAAGTGGTGCGCCGGCCTGCGGTTGTCAAGCAGCTGTTCTAGCCTGATCGTCGACGCCTCGCTTCTGCCCTTGTCCGTCGCCTCGGTTTCAGTCTCGGGTACCATGGCGCGGCCCCCAATTCATTAAGCTCCACACTTGGCTGTTGGCGTTGGCATCACTGATCACCAGACTGCCAAATCGGCTCCGCTCTCTTGGCGCCCAGCTTGTTTCCTGGACGTACTCCGCAAAAGAACTGGGTGCGTCACCTTCAGTTCCTGTCTCAAACCAAGTTGGTCACTCAAAGCCTGAACTACATTTTCGGCACTGCCGTGCTTTGTCGATAGACTCAGGGTTTCAGGTGGAAACCCGCCTGGTCGATTGTCAGCCTGTGGCGCCCCCTCCGCTTCGGTTCTCAGCCTCTCGCCCTCCGCCTAAGCGAGCCAGACCAGTCTTCGGCACCTCCTTGCGCTTGCAGCGGCGAGGATGCGGGTCTGTGTTGCCCAGCAGCGCGGGCAAGATGCTGTTGGATATGACTGGGGCAGTGTAGCTACCACAATGAGGCTCTCTGTCCGAACCCAGGAAGGAAAGGTCCAACCTCATCGCCCGATCAGTACCTTGGCTGCCCTTGCCCACACCTTCACGTCCAGAGTTGCACTGCTCGGGCATCTTTTCCATGGTGACGGCCAGGATCGATCAGTAGACCGACTTGCGGCAGTGCTTCTTCTTCATTGGTGAAGCGGTTCGCTCGGGCGACGGGTCAGTGTCACGCACCCGGTGGCCAGTGCAAGATCTGAGCCACGTCGCTGCAACACTGTGTCGCCACGCGATACATTGCCGGGCTTTCGCGCCTGTCTTTGCGTAGCCTGGTGACACGTCAGCTGGAGCATGTTCTGAGGCACACGCTCGTCCGACTCGATCTTTCCTTCCTTCCTTCCTCCCTCCCTCCCTTCCTGCATTCCGTCCTTTCTTCCTTCCTTCCTTTCTTGCTTCCTTCCTTTCTTGCTTCCTTCCTTCCTTCCTTCCTTCCTTGCTTCCTTCCTTCCTTCCTACCTATGGAACGCCTTCTGCTTGTTGATGTATTCCTCCTTGTGGGTTTCCACCATGGGAACAGTGAACCACGACCCGAGCCCACATCACAGAGGCCGCAGCTCGTCGCTCCAGACCAACAGGATCTGACGCAACGCGGTCTTTAGCAGCACCACCCTCTCGGCGCAAGGTTGGGAGCATGCGCCGGTGGTGGATGAGAAGGTAGTCCAGCTCCGCGCCAGCGTCTCCAGTTCGGGCCCCTCACTGTCGTCCTTGGCCATGTCAAAGATTTCAAAGCGCTCCGCGCTCTCGCTTGCAGGAGGTCCGTGGGACTCCACTGCCATGTGGGTCGTTGCATTCTCGACCTCGTGCATCTTTTCGGGCAGTGCACAGAGCGCCAATCCAGTCATAATCCTCCTCGATGTCCAGGTTGATCCTCCAGTCGTCTTTAACAGGGACAGGTGCGTTCAGCTCCCCGTTAAGAGTTCTCCATGTTCCATGTTGGAAAGACCCAAGACCCGACTGCACATGCCATTGCCGTCGTTCTCCAGCGTGCTGTGGATCGCGCGACGAACCTCCATGACCCCGAGACCCAGAAGAGCAGCACCGCTATGCCGCGACACCACCTGAATAGCCCTGAGAACCAACTACCAAGTCAGGTCAAAAGGCATCAGAACCTTGTCCTCGCGCTTGCGACATCAGCAAGGCGGCCCCAAAGTCGAGCTCACATGAGTTGGGACTGCGCCTGCAGGTTACGCTGAGCCACAACCACAAGTGCCAAACGTTCTACCTCCCAACTCAGAGCTTTTGGCGGGGTGCTTTGTGTATGTCTGCGCTCTTTACTCTGAGTTCGCTTCAAGGAAAACTGACAGTCATTTCGGAGGCAAGTTCGAAGCAAAGTAGGGTCGGACCAGCCCGCTTTCTATGCCCCAACGTCCAGCGATTCCACGAAAGCAAATGAGCCACTCTTTAGGTCCTGCCGGGCCAGGCCAATTTTCTTGTGAGCCGCCTGGATGCCAAGCTTTGCAACCTGCGGGAGGGTTTCAAGTCTCCGTGTTTCTTGAGCTTCTTGGGAGCAATGGCCCACAAAGGAAAAAGGGTGCGAGTACCAGCTCAAAACCAGCATACCCGAAAGAGAGCCACGGGGAAATGTGGTAATACTGGGTCACAACACCGAGGTAAAGATTCAAGCGGGCTGCGACTGTACCAGGGTTTGATGGTGGCTCTAATTGGAATGATGATTGAAGTTGAGATTCCGGGCCTCCTAGATGAGAAACAAGAATCGGTAGAAGCAAAACTTGGAACGGTCTCAACCTACGGGAATCCCCGAACGCCCCCAAAGTGACCTTGTGTTGTTTAATGAAACCACAAGGGGCATGCGCTCGTGACGCTCAATCCTGTAAAGCGATTCTAAGGAATGTTTTGTCAAGTTTTGACCCGCCGTCACTCGCCCTGTAAAACGCTGCCCCTGGCCAGAGCCGGGGTGAGCCGGAGCCGGGCCAGAGCCTGAAGACGAAGGGAAGGAGCGGGGGAGGGCCGGCCCGAACATCAAACGTCTGGCGCCCGGTATGACCGTTCTTGTCCGACACCCCGTGTTTGGCGGCGCGGCAATTTGTTCGGTCGCTTGCGTATGCGACCACATGTTCATCGTTCATCTTCGGCGCCGTTTAATCTTCTTGTCTCAAGCATTTTTGGTCCTATGTTAAATTATTCAAAATCAACAAGCCTAAACTTTTCAAATCGCAGCTGTAGATGCAGTAATTAGTGTTGCTTAAAATGCGTTGGGTGTACAACTTGTCATGAGTTATAAAACATCCCACAATTGGTTGATCGGCCTTCTTTTCTGGTGTGTCTTAAATTAAGCTATCTAGAACTGACTTCCAAGCAGTATATATGTATACATGAGTCTACGCCCTTTCAATATGGTAAACCACTGATGATGGATAGCATAGCTGTCTAAATATTTCACGCGCCTTCTACTTTCATTTGACACACGCGCGCGCGTAGTGCTGATGGTTCGCCGTCCGTGAGTCAGACACGCAGCCCGGGGCAAGTGCGCTTGAGCAGGGGCTGTTACCATCTGGCAGGCGAGTGTGCAGCCCGCAACGAGCGCGCTCGAGCGGGAGTTCGTCTCATGTGGCAGGCGTGCGCGCAGGCGCACTTGGCCGAAGGTGCGTACGATAGCTGGTGCCATGAAACTGTACACAGGCTTTTGAAGGCGCATTGCCGTGGCTTAGGCGCGCGTTGGGAATGTGCGATAGGGTGCGCAAGTGGACTGTGCAAGTGGGACGGGCGAGCTGAGCTCTCGTCCGAGTGGACCAATGGACGCGTGACTCGAACACTCGCGCGCCCTACTCGCACACTTTGCTCGTGAACAGAAATAAAGTCCTTTAAGGACCTATTTTTGGCACGAATTAAAAAGTGTACTTGCGCGCAAGCAAGAAGGTCTAAAAGTAAGCCGTGATCTCTCTGTTCGAGTGAGAAAGTGTGCAAACGTAGGGCGCGCCATTGTTCGAGTCACTTGCCCGCTCGTCCACGCGCCCGCAAGCTCCACTCGAACACTCGCATGCGCTACTCGCACACTTGCACGCAGGGTGGCTCCAGGGCACGCAGGGACTGTCACAATTGTTTTCTACAACTTCCTTCCAGCTAACTCTTACAATCCATTTTGGCACGAGTGCGCGCATAGCTGAGCAAGAGCGCTTGAGCAAAGCTTCTTAGAATTTGGCAAGCATCTGCGCGTGCTGAGGGAGCGCTTTCAACGGGGTTTTAATGCTTGAGCGGGGCAATTCCGTAGCATCTTGCAAGCGTCTGCGTAGCGCCGAGAAAGCGCGCTTGAGCTTGCGGCAAGCGCGCGCAATGTTGTCCGAGACCACCCAAACCGGGTTCTTAGCGTTCGGCAGGCGCCTGTGCGAGCTGGGGCATGTGGATCAGCCCGGCTTGGTTGAACTGTGGCAAGTGGGACCCTGGCTAGTGGTAGACCCTTCTTGATTGGCTGCAAACGTTTTCCAGCACCTCCATCGCTGAGAAAACGAGATGTGTTTTGCTCTTTGCGTTGCTCCTTTCAAGTGGCCTTCCCATTCCCAAACCGTTGAACATGTTGGGTTGGAAGCGTGCGCTGCTGCAAGCGCACGGGAAAGCCGTTTTTCCTGGCCATTCCCCAACAAATCCCCTTGAAGCATAGACGCCTGTGGAAGCACCGGATGCAAATAATGAGCCCTCAGGTCTGATCACGGCCTGCAGACTAAAGGACAAGAGCGCAGAGCAGCACATACTGATTACCGACATGTCCGTGACGCAACGTACGGACTGAAAAGACAAACAAGCAAAATGCGACAAAACCCGTCACACCTTCGAGCGGTCGGCGCCTCCGGGACGTTGACCCAGTTGGTCGATATGGCGTCGTAGGCCACGATCGGGTCGAACATCGAGAACTGCACTGGCTTATCCCCTGCGCTCCGGCCAACATGAAAAGCGAACGGAGCGAAGAACATCCTTCCAAAGTTGTCTGCAAAGCGCCACGGGCCTCGGCAAAAGACGCCTCAATAAAATCAGGCTAGGTCAATTTCAGATTCAATTCACCTGATCAATCCTGGGTCAATGCATTTTTCCCAGTGTCACAAGTACGGCGGAACGGGAGTAGGTGTTGGTCGGAAAAGTGGTCGATTGGACAGTCAGGGGCTAATTAAGCGCTGGGCAACTTGCTTGACACCAAGGCCTGCTCCAATGGGGGCTTTCGGAAAAGTGGCTAATGCTTGAAGCGTGCACGCATCCGCGATTACTACACTTGCCCAACCTGAATCAAGAAGCCCCGAACCTTCATCACGGGTGAGCTCATTTTACTTTCAAGTAAGCTCGCCATAGTTAGTGCAATGCATGGCGTTGCGCCGTTGCACGCTTTCCATTTTTCAGCCCTCTGCGCCCCAACCACAAGGTCGACATGAATCGTGACAAGCACCTGGAACAGCGGGAGAGTTGCACAACGGACAAGAAGGGGGACGGGGCGATCGATTTCAGCAACAACAACTACACGGAAAGGGCCGTGTCAAGGAGGCACTGGGGTACCTACCGCTTGGCGTGGTTCAAAAAACACTTTTGTGTTCAGTCTGCACATGTGCAGACACACTTGGAAGACTGTATGTGCAGATGTATATGTTGTACAGCGTTGCCAGACAAGTACCCCCCCTGTGGTTGTGGTCCTGTGGTTGGGTTGTGGAGGGTTAGGGTTGGTTTAGAATTGGTTTAGGGTATATTTAGTGTGTATTTAGTGTTAGTTTAGGATTGGTTTATCTGAATTTAGTTTAGGGTTGGTTTAGGGTTAGTCTGGGTTGGCTTATGTTGATTTAGGGTTGGTTTAGGTTTGGAGGTCTACGGTTTAGGGTTTGGTTTGGGGTGTATCTAGGGTTGGTTTAGGGTTAGTGTACGGTTGGTTTCTGGCTGGTTGCGGGTTGGCTCGTCCTGGGCCGCGGTGTCGGGGCCCAGGGGGTGGGGGTGGGGGGTGGGAGCGCAGGTGTCAGGATCCGTCTCGGGCCGGGGAGGGGGGTGTCCTGGGACCCATACCATCTGGGAGGTAGCAACACCCGCCTCGCACGGCATCCCGCTTTCTGCGCATGCCTCGGCATTGTGTGAAGGTTCGTACCTAACTCTGGATCTGACTTGCCTTGGGGATGGTTGCTAGTTGTTGTGGGAACCGAAACGACACCATGTTTTAGGGGGGTCCTGTTTAGAAGCACCCTTTTGCCCCTGCCTTTGACAAAAATATCGGGGATGTCAAAATGGAGAAACCTCTCCTGGAGGGGCCAGGTCCGTTTTGCACTAGACTTGGTTTTAACTCAAGTCGCGTCTCAAGTACAGCCACACTTCCTCACATGTCCTGCATCACCGGAAAATGAAGCTCGTTGAGAATGGGGTGATGTTCAAGCCAGCCAGAAGGGCAACCATAGAAACTGCAAACTGCAGGCCTGGGTCTTCATGCTCCATCGGACAGGCGGCCGAAAAACGATGTGATGTTGCAGGCTTGTCATATATCAAAGGACCCATGGGATACCACAAGCTTCTCCATGCACAAATATTGTATACATACATACATATATTTGTATATGTAAATATGTATATATTGAAACGAAGAAAATATACAAATAAGGTACCCCTAAAAACCTAGGTTTTTCCTCGGGATGACTCAGCTCGCTGCAAAATTATGCATGAAAAGTTGCGAAAGCCCTGGAACATTGCATGTCATTTCTGCAGTGAACAGCAAACTCAACAAAAAATGCATACTACCTGCACCAACTGCGTTAGACACTGAGCAAACGCCATGGAAAAATTATGATGCTTATCTTGGTGGCAACAGTGAACAAATACAAAGTAACAAACAATAACACCAGTAAACAAAAATGCAGTTTCTGGGCCCATGAAGAGTAACAAGTAAAACCGTGAAAGTAAAGAGGTTTTACGTGCTGCAAGGCTTCTTAGTTTAATTGGTAGGGAAAGGCAGTAAAAGACTAGGTTTTCAGTTTATTAGGAAAAGACAGCAAAAATCCAGGGCTTGTCATATTCCCCGAGGAAAAATAATAATAAATTGCGTGCGCTGGAGGAAAGAAAGGAAAAGTAACAGAAAACACTCAGTGAAACTAAAACAATGTAAAAGAAAAGTAACAAGGCAAACGGCAAACAAGTAAGAAAAACAGAAAGCAAAAAAATATAAAATGTACAATACAAAAAAGTGACATTTCTGGGCCCGTGAAATGAAAAAAGAGTAAAAACGCAAAAAGAAACATTCTTTACCTTTTGGGTGGGTTTCTTTTACTTTCATGGAAATGAAAAAATGCAGGGCGCTGTCTTTACTGGGAAAAAGCAAAAAGAGACTGAGTTTTGTATGAAAAAGTAATAAGACAAACTAGGGTTTCTTACTTTCAATGGGAACAAGTATTTCACTGAGAAAAAATAAAAACCAGGCAAAAGTATTTTTCCTTTTTTGGCATTGGCGCTTTTACTCTCTTTTTACTTCGCATGCGTCCAGAACTTATTGGAATTGTTTTCTTTTTTACGTTTTAGTCTTACTAGGCAAAGAAAAATGTAAGACAGCAAAAACGGAAGAAGCTTTACTTTGTTCGGCGGCTGCTCACCCTTTCTCAGTACAAGCAAAAACTCGCTGCAAACAGTCAAGCTTTCTCACTTTTGGCGGCATTACTTTGTACTTTGTGTTGGTCTTTTTACTTTTGCACTTTTACTTGGGAAAAGTAAACAAAGCAACAAAGCCTAGAGTAAAACAAAAAGTTGCACTTTGGGAGTTGCACTGTTTACTTTTCACGCGCCTAACGGTTTTCCAGCAGATTCTCGAGCTTCTGGGAAAACTTCAAACAGATTCTCGGCGCTTCTGTTGAAAGTGGAATGAATATTTGTAGTGACGCGCACGGGTAAATTTATCCTTCAAGATTAGCGCGGGTGTTGACAAGCTCTCCGAGTCAGAGGTGGTGGAACACGTTCAAGTTTTTAGCAATCAGAGGCAAAAAGATGCACAGACCGAGCTCCGAGAATTCTATTGTTTTCCCACATCTGGGAAGACAGAACGCGCCTACGTGCACGAGTGTACATTGAGCAGGAAGTTGACTACTTCAGCGCGGCTGGCCGGCCAGCGAGCCGGGCAACCAAGAGACTGCTGCTTTTAGGCTATTTTGCGCTTGTCAAATTCCTAGCATTTTCACTATTTAGACAAGTTTTGCCGCGCCAAACTTCTACAAAAACCCCACCAAACTTCTACAAAACTTCCACCGAACTTCTCTTCAAGCCGCGCTACAATTCTATGAAAAGGCGACCGTTCCTGCGGCGGCCCGTGAACAACCGGAGCGAAAAAAGCAAAGTTGTCGCACGAAACTGCCGGCAGTTCGTTGGAAGTTTCCAGGAATGCGAGAAGCACTTTGAAGGAAAACTGCTAGAAGTTTCCTCTCCGGTACCTGCCGCGGAGTTACCTTTTTACGAGAGTTTTGCCCCGCGCGCCAGCCTAAGCCGGCAAGTTTTGCCGAATTAGGCCCGGTTGCTCCCTGAAAGCTCAAGATAATTCACGGCCACTCGGCGTACCAGACAACACGTGCTTTTTCTAATAGACAACTTTTAGCGCAAAGCACAGAACAAACTAATAGACAGAAACTGTCTTATCTGGTCTACTGGTCAAAGTTTTTACGCATGCGAGTTGTTGTTAGTGAGCGTTTTGCTTCACCTAAGCTACTCTCATGTTGGCCCGTGCTAAGGAGGTAGAAAATGCAAAAGCAATGCGCAAAAACACTTGTACTGTGCAGTGTGTTGTTGAGAGGCGCAGGTTCATAAAGATAGAAGGCTTGTATACGTGTATGCTAGCACCTCCCCTGAAACAGAATGACATGTGTTCCCGTGTCCAAGCAAGACCCTAAATGGAACTATTTTCCTGAGCTGCTGTGATATAGACTTTAGACTTTGGACCTTCGACGCCTTGAAGTTTCCAGCTTGAAACACCTGAAATCTAGAACCTGGAGATCTGAACACCCCGTAGCATTTTACTTCAACAATTGAGCTGCATTTTTGTAAAGAATTTACTAAGGACGTAGTTCGCAAGAATCTCCCTGTTCAATTGGAATTTTGAAAGGGTAGTCCTCTCCAAGTGGGAGTCAAATGAAAAATCCAGCAGCGCTTGACAAGAATTTAGTATGGAAAGACTTCATTCGCCTTTGGGAGTATATATTGAACAGGAACTCATTCCCACACGCTTCGAAGTTAAACATAGTTTAAAACAAAACTAGCTGAACGGGCCCCTGAACATAACGTGTCGCAAGAGTTCCTTCCCTAGTATGGTTAAGTTAAACCTGAACAAGCTTTGATATACTTCTACCAAAGGAAGTGTACAAGGAACTTTCGTGTTGCGGGCACGAACTGAAAGGCAGTCTTGTGCATAGATGTCGTAAATAAAGAACAGGAAAGCACGCGTGCGCGTGCGGACAAATCGCGAAAAAGGCCGCCAGCTGATAGCCACCTCTGTCGCGACGCCTGGCGGACGACGGCGTCGGAACGGGGTCGCAACGGGGTCGGGCCCGACCCATTTGCATGGACGCGCGGCTTTTCGCGAAGTCAGCCTTCCGTGGCAGGCGCAGCACTTTGGCAAGCTGAGGCGCGCGTTCCGTTGCAGGCACAGCACTTGCGCATGGTCAAGAGTAGGCGTGGAGTTCGCGCAACGCTGGCGCGGACGTGTTGCAAACCCCATTGGCACGGACGCCCGCGCTGGCTGACGCAGATTTCAGTGGCGGACGCAGTATTTCCGCAAGGTCAGGTGCAGCTTCCAAGGCAGGCGTGGCACTTTCGCGGCACTTTCTTAAGGGCAAGTACTGAATTCATGGCAGGCCCAGCACTTTCGCAAGGCCGAGGGCAGATTCATTGCAAGCACTGGTTTCGTGGCAGGTAGATAGCTACATAGATGGGTGACAGATAGGTAGATAAATGGGCAGGCAGGTAGATAGAGATAAAGAGATAAATAGAAACAAAGATGAGATAGACAGATGGGTGAATAGATAAGGTCACAAGATAGATATATAGATAGACAGATAGAGCAATAGTTAGACAGATGAAAAGAAACAAACATAGATAGATAGAAAGATAGATAGATAGATAGAGAGGTAGAGAAGACAAAGAGAAAAAGGGAGTGGGCAGATAGGGAGATAGAGAGATAGGGAGATAGAGAGACAGATAGCTAACTAGAAGGATTTGTAGATAGAAAGATTTGTGGAAAAAGGAAAAAAGAAAGAGGGCGAGAGAAAGACAAACTTATACTAACAAAAGGGTGAATAGTTCACTTGGAGCCGGGGGTCGGTCCTCTAATTTGAATTCCTTTCCAAATACGATTTTACTCCGAACGAATTGAATTGGAATGTTAAAGGGGACACATGTTGTTTGGAAAATGAACAACTTCTGCAAAACACTGTGTTTTACAGCATTTTGTTGACCTCTAACCCCTTGAAATGTCCGATTTGAAACACCTGAAGCCTTGAATCTGGAGATCACAGCCCTCGAAATGTCTAGTGTTGGATTCTCCTAGCCTCATGATTTGGAGCAAGGAGTCCTCCAACATGTCCAAGTATAGGTTCCTTTCCAAATACTGCGAATTGAATTGGAATGTTGAGGGAACGCATAATTCACCACAATTCAGTATTCACCAAACCTTCTGTACTTAATCAGAGTTTGAATAGGAATACCTTTCCAAAAAAGGAAAATTAGCATTTCAGCAGTTGTAATTTTCTTTAATGCAGGCAGGACTCAATTGGCTTCTGGACAAAAGAAATTAATTAGGACTCCCTTCCCAAATATGACTTAAATTGGAATAGAGCTTCATCTGGAAAGAGACCATTTGGCCGTTGCATTTTTTAAAAGTGGCTCGTTCACAAATATGGTTTAGATTCAATGTGGCTAAACAAATAATTTGCAAACATCCCCAAGCTCCCAAAATTGGTTTTCAGAGCTTTCATTTTCAGGGGATTTTGTGCTTTTGGGTCTGTGCGTTGCAACAAAGCAAGCATTTGCTGTCATATAGAAGGTAGAACGACAACAAAATCATTGTACTTTACAGTGTTTTCAGGCATCTGCAAGAACGAGGCGCGTGGAGTAGACTAGACACCTTCTACTAGAAAAACAAGTTAGGCCCTGGGGGGTGACCATATATATATATATATACGTGTACATTTCAGCCTACGTAGTCAACTGATCTTTCAAATCTGTCTATCTATGTATCTGGCTGCTTGGCTGCCCGGCTGCCTGTCTGCTTGGCCGCCTGCCTGTCTGTCCGTACGTCTATCTCTACACGTCACACATAGGATATACCTGTCTCTGAGCTTCTTTGCCCGTGCGCGATGCTCATGACGATGTCGGCACATACTCATACAAAGCTGCGGTCGGCCTGCGAAGCAATCCTTGACAGGCTCAAGAACAAAGATCACTGGCTCCGATGCTCTGGCGTGTGGGGACCCATGCACAACCCCAAGGCCACGCAAGACATGACTGTTTGCAGGTGAGTGGTTGAGGAAGCCCATGTTCAACCAGAACGGTAAAGGCTGAATTCAGATGTGGCCAACTCCGGCTCCCAGACGTGTAGGCCAAGTTGGAATCCGGACTCTTGTCAAAGGACAAACATTCGTAACATCCGAAATAGAGGAGACCCCTTGTGGATGGTATCGTTCAAATGAAACTGAAAGGAAGCCATTCTGAGAATCGCGGGGAAACAGCAATGTGTCCCAACAGAGTCGGGCGTGCTGCCCTGTAATGCTAGCGCAAGAGGTCCGAATGGGAACCGCAGCAACGCCATCAGCTTGATGTGAAATTTTCATGGTCTCACGAATCGTTGCGCGACCCTTTGCGCCTGGCTATAGACAACACCGAAGCTAGGCTAGAACAAGTGCCTTGAGCCAAATATCACCGCTACGTGTGAATGCTACAAACCATGCGCCGCTGTGAAACTATTCACACCCCCCGCACGGCGCAGAGCGTGTTTCCAACCTCGGACAAAGCATGCGATGCGCTTGGATGACCAAAGCTTGATGACGATGCTCTTGTATCCGCATTTTATGAACAGCTTGATGAGATCGAGGGTCTTACCTTCATCTGCGTAGAGAAACGCGTCCGCCTCGTTGATGCAAAGGATATGTGCACTGTTCAGCATCATCTGCATGACGAGCGGTCGGTGCTTGATTGGCCATGACTTGAGTTCTCGACTATCCAGCTTCGAACTCCTTGTGAGGTTCCCGTGATTCACTGTCAGGATGTTGGGTGAAATGCTGGATGGATAGTCTTTCCTCTTGAGGTAGTCGACAACTTGGCCATCAGTTCCTTGCATCAGGGATCCCAGAACGGTCGTGAATGACTTGATAAGCTCGGGGCCGTGATACTTCTTCAACTTCTTGAGTCCGATCGGAAGTCGCAGTGGATACCCCGAATGGTTCTGCGCTGCTCTGAACTCTTCCATGGTCGGATGTTCACTTGCGTGCTCGAAGTAGAACTCATCTTCATCGAGGTTCTCATCTGGATTCACGTGTGCCAAGGATCTCAATTCGCACTCGGTCCGGTCCTTATGTGTCTTCTTTGGATCCATGTGGTACCTCTCCATGAAATCCGTGAACGCTTGCTTGATATCGTCGAGCTCTTTTGCAGCATCGGCCTTGGACATTTCCCGGTCCAAATAGATGTCCTGAAATTCCTGATTGAATTGAGCCACATTGGCCTGATTGGGTGGTTCCATAATGACCTTGACCTTGACCTTGACGGATCGATCTTCTCTTGCGCTCATGCTTTCCTCATCATGGTCTGTCGAATGCCGTCTTTTCTTGGTCTCGCTGGATTGCTCTTGTTCGGGTTGACATTTGTTGCGCTTGTCGTGGGAGATGCCCTTGTCAATGTGCTTGAAGAAGTGCTCAGCAAACTCCTGGATCTTGGATTCACATTGTTCTCGGTCGTCATGGTCGAGATTCTTCTGCATGATCCAGTGGCTGTGCATCAGAGGCTGTGCATCGGTATCGAATGCTGTGCTGCATGGATCGATGGTGTATTCTGACAGTCCCTTGGGGACATGGGTCAGCGCTGCGTCTGATTCCTGATTATCATAGGTGGTATCGTCGATGCATGCCATGTGAACGTGTTGTCTTCCCCGAGGGGTGCTAGTGTATTGTTGGGGCTGTCCCCAGCCTTCGGCTATCTGGATTTTGAAAACGGGAGTTTCTGCGATTTTGAAACTTGAGTCAAGCCCAATCATCCCTACTTTTCGAGGAAGGGGTTAATACCCGAAAAGGGCCTGGATAAATTCACCCCCTTTGATACCACAGGACTGTCTATAAAAAGCATGCAATCCCATGAGCTAACCATGGATTCTGTTAATTCCAGGCGTCTCTTGATAGAGATTGATCTTGTAAGCTGCTTTGTGCTCTGAAAGCATGAAAATAGGTATGTGTCGAGTTTGAGAGGAGGAGGCCGCAACAAATTGTGGTTTCCTTTCGGTTTCCTCCCTCGGGACGCTCTCCGTGTCTCTCTGTGTCCCTCTGTGTCCCTATGTGTCTCTATGCGTCTCTCTGTGTCTCTCCGTCTCTCTGTGTCTCTCTGTATCTCTCTGTGTCTCAACTGTGTCTCAACTGCGTCTCCCTGCGTCTCTTGTGTCTCTCTGTGTCTCTCTGTGTCTCTCTGTGTCTCTGTGTGTCTCTGTGTGTCTCTGTGTGTGTCTCTCTCGGTCTCTGTGTGTGTGTGTCTGTCGGTGTCTGTCTATGTGTCTCTGTGTGTCTCTGTGTCTCTCTGTGTGTGTCTGTCTGTGTCTGTCTGTGTCTCGCGTTGTCTCTGTGTCTCTGCGCGTTTTTCCGCCGTTAGAGCACGCAGGCAATTTCTGTCAGTTGTCTGTCAATTGTCACATGATTTAGTATGACATTTGTCAATTGTCCATTGCTCCCCAACCAACTCACAACTGACTGTCTTGTCATAAGCACGATCATATACTAGATTGCGTGATGCTTTGAACTGCGCAACAGTGTGAACAAACGGCTCAATTGACAAACGGAGTGTCACCTGCGCACATTCTCGCAGAACTGCTGCTAAGTTGACACTTGCCAATTGACACACCAGACTGGACACATCATGTTTTCCTGGGCGTTGCAACGATCTGCAGTAGTCCGCTGACCTGTGTCCAAGCACAAGAAAACATTCCAGCTGTCAATGGTTGCGGATGCAACACTACCCCGCTGCTGCTAGGCCCATGGGGAGGATTGTTCATTGGGTTCCATCGAGTACCACACAAGACCCTTTGCAAGCTGACTTGTTCGTGCAAACAAGGGACAAGCAGCAGGAGCAAGAATATATTATCTCTACTAATACAAAGGCCAGCTTTGTAACTGCCAAGGCAATGCACCATGCCCTAGTTTGAAGAAACCTGGGCATGCTGAAGACAACGCATGCAGAGTTCTGACACTCACAAAAACTCATTTTGGCCATCAATGGCCTGAGCAGCTGCTTCCTCGGCAACCACTTGGTTCTCACTGCGGCGCTGATCCAAATCATCTGCAGGGGCAAATTGGTCACGTTGTTGCACCGACCGCTCGCAGCGCGTTGGGCATTGATCTTCTCCCACTCCGGCAACCGAGCGCCACCTGTCGACGCAATCATGGTGCAGCACATGGTTGCACGGCAGCCTGGCTTCCTCCTGGTGCTCATTGATCACATCCATGCAAATGACGCAGATCACACGGTCATCTGCAGCTTCATGGCGAAGACCGGCATCAGCAGAATCCTCCTCCTCACCGTTATCGGCGGCCTGCTCAGGCTGGTCGAACATGATGGGAGGTGGCGCACGGCGCTCAAGGACCATTGAACTCATCCTGAGCAAAGCACGCGCCTGCTCAATGACTGTCGGGCAGGACCGGACTCGGGGTCATTGAAATCACTGCCTGGGCCAGAGGAGCCGCCACCGAAGGACCAGGAGCCGCCACCAAAGGACCAGGAGCCGCCACCGAAGGACCAGGCCGCCACCGAAGAACCAAGAGCCGCCAGCGAAGGACCAAGAGGCGCCGCCACCAAATGACCAGGAGCCTCCACTGGGTCCACCGAAGAACCAGAGCCTGAGCTATGTCAGATGACAGTGCCACGGCCAGCGCCGATGCCTTACGCTTCGTGATGTGGCCCATGAGCATTGCTCTGCATGATTCATCGCGATCGAGAGCACGATGTCGTCGGTCAGGGAAAGTGGCAGCTTCTCCAAGACGTTCTTCTTGAAGCTCTCCTCGCCCATGCCCTGCTTCACCCGATAGGAGGCCTGCTGCAGCCTTTTCCCCAACTTCCTGTAGTAGCGCACACCTGGGTTGATAATGGCCGATCAACGTTGGTGCGAAGACGAGTTCAATTGTCAACAAAAGATGATTCTCACATGAACAACAACAAGTGTGCCAATCATCGCCGAGGCACGAAGCTCTGAGATCTTGACACAGGGCTTGACCCTGCACCAGATCCAGATTACAGGTGTAGGTGCTGTCGAGCATGGGCTCCACCTTCTCCACAACCTGAGACAGCCAGACACGGGGAAGGCCCTTAAGCATCGTGGCCGAGGTGGTGATCTTGGCATCCTGCGAATCACTGCTGTCACTGCCACTCTCATCATCCGCTTCCTGAGGCTGCATCATGAATTGCGGCATGGGTGGCACCCCAAAGCCCGGCATCATCAACTGCTGTGGAGGCTGCGCCGGCGCCGAAGCGGCGGAGGCGGGCCTTTGTCGTTTTTGCTGACGGCCCATCTCGCGCAATTGACAATTGCCACAATTGACAAATGAGATCAATTAATACGCTTGAGCCAATCATTCAGACAAATGCACAACTAGCTGTTGCAACTGGCATTTGAGGAACACATGACACTTGGCAATTGTCAATGAGGAATCCGCCCACGCCCGGGCCAAACTGTTTAAACATTAAACCGTTTCAACTTTAAACCGTTTAAGCACGTTTACGGAGTTCCTCGTTTGCTTGACAATGATTGAACAGTCCTCCTTTGACCATGCGTTTAAACACTGTTTAAACATTGCGGGGTCAGCGTTGAGACATGTGCAGAGTGAACACGGTGGCAAGGAACACTGCAAATATCCGCAGGGTAGCGGCTTCCAATGGTAGGATAGAGTGCTTGGCAATGGGCAAGCGGTCCCGCGCCGACCGGCTGGAAGTGGCGGCGGCAAAGGCTTCAGCAGGCGGCGGTGCGCAAGTGCACCCGTCAGACGTAGAGAGGCATGTGCCCACGGGCCGAAGCTGGCTGTGGAGTTGGTTCCACTTCAACAGCCCCCATCAAAGAATGTCACGCAGAATGTGTACTATTGCAGCGTGCGCAGCCCGGGGAACGAAGGCCAAGCGGACGTTGCCAACGGCATTTTCCGCTTGAGCTCCATGGCGCTGAACCCTCTGCAAAGACACCTGAAATCTGCTCACGGCATCGAGGCGGAGAGCGCGTTGGAGAGCGAAAAGCAGCCGACCATCGACGTGCATTGCCGGCATCGCAAGGCCAAGAACGAGAAGCTTCTTGACGGCTTGTCTTGATTCCAGCCCCCAGACACAAGCCAGGCAGCTTCTTCAAACGAGGCAGCAGCGGTCAAGCCAATTCCTGACAGGAGCGACCAGGCTGTTGAGAAAGCTTGGCAAAAGTTCAAGCTTGACCTCAAAACGCAGGTGTGCTTGGTCGCCCCGCAGCCTGGCTACCATGATGCCTTGAAGTTTTGGAAGGAGATTGGCGTTGCGCAGTACCCTCTCATGGCTCCGGTGGCACTCTACATGCTTGGCGTGTGCGCGAGTCAGGCAGCAGCAGAGCGGGTGTTCTCCAGCAGTCCGACTGGCATTTACCAACCTGGATCCGGACGTTCTAGGCGCCATCATGCAAAGCCATGTCAATCTTCCGTCCATTCTCGAGCAAAGACGGAAGCGTGCAGTGGCCCCAGTGGCCCGGTCAGTGTCTGAGACGGTGACTGTAGTGACACCTAAGAAGGGTGAGATTGTAAATTTGGACGACTAGACAGTGACATTGGAAGCCTGCTTGAATAAATGCCCCCTTACGTGTGGCTGGGGGACGGGGACCCTATCCAGGGCAGGTTTTGGCCGGCCATGTCGTTTAAACGTTTAAACGTGTTTAAAAGTTTAAACGTGTTTAAACACTGTGCCCGGAGGCCGCCTTTTCGTTTGAACAAATTGCGTTCTGACGCCCAGTGTTCTCCGTCTGCGCATCGAGAGACCTTAGGTGTCCCATGAAAAAAGGGGTTCGAGATGTTTTGAGATTTTTTGAGAAACTCAGATATCCTGAACAACGAGCGCAAGAGGAAAAAACGTACCAGATCTAGCACAAAACCTTTTGAGAGATTTTGAGAAGACTCATCCTGGAAAAGATTCTCAAGAGGCAAACACGTACCTGATCTGGGACAGTCACAATTGTTTGAGAGATTTTGAGGGATAAATATTCATTCTCGGGAATGTGTGTGTGACATGTTTTGAGAACCTCTTCCAGCTCGTCTAGAACAAGACTTCAGCTCCCCCTAGCCTGAAAGGACACTTCAGACTCCAACCGGTTCAGCCCCTCAGCCCCTGAGCCTTTGAAGCCTTCCAGGCTCCCAGGCATTGTCGAGCAGCGGCCTCCGCAGGTTTCAATCGAAGCAAGGCCGCACTTCATTGGTGAAACAATGCTGGCGAGACATCTCAGCTACTCGAAAATGAATGCTCTTTCACGACATGAGCCCAACAGGACATCTGCCATCAAGTCAGGATATGTTTGATTGAGGATGCGTGTCACTGATTCAAGACGGTTTGCAATATACAATTCACAATTGACACATGTCTAGTTGCAGAGACTTCACAGTTGAAGTTTCACTGCAGCTTCACTTCAAAACTGCAGCCTTGCCTGGGTGATGAAGAGCGCTGAGTGAGACCTGCCAGGAACGTCTAGGCGCCAGTGACAGGTTGAAATGCCGTGTCTTGAAACCCTTGCAAAAGCTAAGGGTCACGAGTCAAGTCAAATGATGCCACGTCGTGCCATGTGATGTGGCACGAAAAATTGTCATCAAATGACACATCGGAGTGGCTGTGACAGCCAACTTCTTGTAAATTCAAGTGACAAGTGTGAGTCATGCACGGCAGTGCCGGGCCCAGCTCATGTTGCTGAAGAAGCCCTCTGTCCTGAGTCGTCAAGTCATGTCAAGCGCAACAGCATGATTTGACAACTCATGATAATCAACGGAGAACCTCAACAAGAACGGCAATCAATGAAGTTGATTCAAGCATCGAACCGCCGAAGCAATCCAGCCCGCCAGCTGACCATCCACTTCGGTCTTCGTCAGAAGGTGCGCCCTGAGTCAGCCGTTGCGGTAAAACGTCAAGGCTTGTGACACAAGCTTCAAGAGTGGCTTCACCCATCGCTCCTAGGTTACCAGTGACCTTCCGCAGTAGTACTACAGCGTGCTGAGTGTGTGAGCTATTATGTTCCTGCCAAAGAGGAAAATCTTCGCTTGTAAAAGCGGGCCAAAGCGCAGGAACTTCTCCGCAAAGGCCATCTGAACGTGATCCGGGATCTCGTAGTCGTCCAGGATCTCCAGCCTGAGTGTCAACTGAGACAAGTGTGTCACGGGCTTGTGCCGGGGAAGTGTTGACAACTGGAAATTGGCAATTGAAAGAACTCTGGAGCTTACATCGACAACTAACAAGTGAGACTCAAGAGTCAAGAGACATCACATGGTTCAAGCTCGGACGCTCAGGAACTTCACCACCACCGCCAGCAACTTCATCTGCAGGTGGAGCCGCCCGAAAACCAGGAGGAGGCGGCGGCGGGGAAAAAGAGCTCCTCCCCGGAGTCTCATCATGATCAGAACCGCCCTCATCACGGCGGCTGCTGCGCGCCTGCCAAGCAAGTCACAGGTAAGCAAGCTAGGCAAACTGCAGGAAATCAAGCGCGCGTGGACTCAACTATGAACCAGCCAACAGGCCTTCTTTTGCTTCTGGGCATTCCGGCATTCCTCAAGGCTGTGGAGGACTCCATCCGCTGAGCAAACCACACCGGAGACCTTCTTGAAAGGGGGCTTAGAAGCAAGGCGCATGACATGGTGAGAAGGGAGATGAAAAAATACAATTGTAAGTTGTGAGTCACAATTGTTGACAATTGCTGGGATGTGACATCTGACAATTTGAATGCAAAAACTGTTGCAGCAATTGTAGTCTCACTTTTGAGCCACGGCTCTGAGGCGCCCAATGTTGTGCCGCCGTGCACTCACCCACGGCCTCCACCAAGGACTGCACATAGTCCTCCACCGCCCGGTAGCCCAAACTTGCAGAAACAATGCAAGTGGCCGCATACCTTAGTCCAACACTTTGAGCAACTGCTTCAAAGAGATGATTGCTCTCCGATGTTGGAGACATGCCGCGAGTTGACACAGCACATGACAACTGTCAGAGTCTGGCGAATGCTCAAATCCAGCCTGCTCCGACATCTCCCCACTCAGAGATGCCACGGCAGCCCGCGCATCAATGGTCCAGTCGGCTGACACCGTCTGCATGACCAGCACCACCTCGATCCCAAAGGTCTGAGCTTCCAAAGGGAGTGAAGCACGTGTTCCAACATGCAAGGATGCCATACGCAATTGTCACTTGTCAATGAGACGGCGTCAAGCTGACTGACTACAGCTGAAGAGGTTGAATCATGGGCAGCGACTCCAACTTTGAGCAAAGTGTCTTTGAGCCAACCAGCAGCCACCGCACAGGTTGTGTGCTTGCCCCTCTTGCAGTTGATCCTTGTGTCCATCACCAGCAAGCTGAAAACTCTGTGACAATGCCATGCGTGCGCCCATAGAAAAAAGGAGAGGGCAAGATCATCGACCCCAAGCAGCAACGCAGGTTCTTGGCCCAAGTGCCTCTGCCATCAGTTCGAACCATGCCTTCCCAAATCAATCGCAGGTGAGAGGCTTCAAGATCGGCGTCGGCTTCGCAAGGATGCCTCTCACTTATGCAATCAGCGGCATGGTCGGTGAACAGAAATTATGCAAACAAACTGTATCAATGTGGCCGCAAAGCCAAGCCTGCTGCAAGTTGCCTCGCCACAGCCCCGACTGATTGCCGTAGCTCGCCAGCTGACCGCCACCTCCTCAGATGATCTTCAACATGGTGTGTCTACTATCTGGCTGCTGCATTGTGCAAGTGGTGTGCAAGTGGTGTGCAAGTGGTGCGCAAGTGGCAACTGTTAAAATGGCTGACAACATTGCTAACATGATTGGTTTCCAAGATTCCGCTTGGCCGCGGGCAACACGCTGGCCAGCCGGTGCTCAGGCAGCTCCCAGCCAAAGACCATCTCCAGGTCCATCACGCCGCGTAAGGTGAAGCCCTCGATGTCCAACTGCGATTCGTGTCACTGCGCCAAACGGAAGCGCCCCACAGACAGAGACATTAGTGCCATTAATGATGTCAACTGGAGGGACATATCATCTAATCAAAGGAGACAATTGCCACCTAACTGACTGTCACTGGTCAAAGGGTCTCAACAGCAAGGGCCCTGCCTGATTCCGAGCACCCTCATCAAAGCCCCAGCCGCAAATCACGACCTTCCCGGGCCACTCCAGCGAGCTGGCTTTTGAAGCCTCAATTGTCACCTCGACTCCAAGCGACAGACACGCAAAATTAAAATGCACATGAACCAAACCAAACCCAATGTCGCAGCTGAAAACTCAAAGTAACAGAAGCCTGCGAGTTGTTTGCGCGATATGTGAAACGCATAGGTCCTGAGGGA